AAGAAAAAGAAAATAAGTGAAAGAATAGAAATGGAAAAAGTAGCTTCTGGTCTTTACACCATCTGAGTACAATTATAAATTTATCTCTTACACTATGTTTACAAAATAACTTGTTTCTATATTCTATCTAATCATTGAAACTATAAATCATAACTTCATTTCCATTTTACACAAAAAGTTTATAAGAAGTTTCCAGTCAGCAATAAATGTCATATTTCATTTTATTAGTGTTGCCCAGGGAGCAAATCAGAATTTCCTTTGAGTAAGATGCTGGTCACAATTGCAATCACAATTTTCTACATTCAAATTTGATTTGATTGAAGTGGGCAACACTTTCAGTTTCTTAAGGCAAATGTAATTCAAGACCACAGGTGAGCCTGCACATAGCATCTGTTGAAAAGCCTTAAAATTAACTGCGGAGGGGGGGGGGTCCTTATCATAATTGTCTTCAGTCACTCTTTGATATTAAAAACAAGGAAAAAAGATCTATCTGTGATCCTCTTCTGGGTCTCTTTCACTCTCTCCGTGTGGTCGACCTCGGATCTATTTGTCGCGTTTTTCTTCCAAATTCCCTCAAGCCACGAAAAACCACGTCCGAGGAAAATGCGCTGCGAGGGGAGGAATTGGGGGTGATGCTTTGGGGGTGGGGGACCCCACCTCTTTCGCTCTCCTTCTCGTTCCTTGGTTTTGCATTTGGGGGGGGGGGGGGGCAGAAAGGAACTAGGGCAGCACTTCTGCCAGCTACATGGCTTGCCAGGGTACAGAGAGGAAAAGTAAAAGGCAATTGAGAAGTGGGGGGGGGGGGAGAGATTGCAGGACCCGCAGCAGGTTGTTGGAAGGACTGTGAGGCGATTTTCCTTGGAGCAAGGAGAAAGTCAGAATAAGGTTTCTCTCCTTGGAATGGGACAGCTTGCAAGGGTCAGCTCTCCTCGGGACAATTGAACCATTCAATGTAATTATTTAAAATAAATAAAAAATATTTTAATTTTTGTCATTTGCATTTCATTCTGTCCCTGCTTTTGCATCCTTTTAAATAAAAAAACAATTCTATTCCACCATTTCTTTGATATTAGTGTCCCACAGCGAGTTAGCCATGGTGAGGTTGGCCGTGGCGAACTGTCACTCTTCAGAACTCAAAAGTCCCTCTAACACTCTATGAGTCTAACTGCAGTCGCGCAAACGGCTTCTAAAAGCCTCCATGCTTTTTTTCCTTCCCTCGTCCCGAGCTCAAACACAAGTGACCGTCGGCAACCATAACAGAGCAGCTGGTCCTCCAAGCCTGTAGAGGGGAGGCAAGTGCGGAAGCAGGTTCGGGAGAGTCCTGATCGGCCCATCTGCTCCTCTAACCCGGGAACGAGAAGAGTATCTTCACGCGGGGGAGGGGGGGGGGAAGCCTTTGACGGTTAAGTTCGGATATTTCCGCCCGCCCGCCCGCCTGCCTGCCTGCCTGCCTGCCTGCCTGCCTGCCCGCCTCGAAACAGTGCGACGACGCCACGTGTCCTGAAGCGCGCGGGGCACGTCGAGCCAGAGCGAGCGGCCTTCTCCTGCAGCTGGGTCCCGTTTCCCAGGCCTTCTCCCGCTTTAAGCTCACGCAGGCCGTCCTGAGCTACCGCTCGGCCTACAAGCAGGCGAAGTGCTTCCCGGCGGGGTTCGGGCTATGAGCGACGCGACGCCTTCCCTCGGAGCGCCAGGTAGGCTAAAGACGCGCGCGCCCCAGCGGACCTTTCCTCCTTTCTCCTCCACCTCCGCTTGGGCCACCTTCGGTCCTCTCGATAGCGATCACGCGCACCCTTAAAGTAGGGGGTCTCCAACCTTGGCAACGTTAAGCCTGGAAGATTTCAGCTCCCCAGAATTCTGGGAGTTGAAGTCCTCCAGGCTTAACGTTGCCAAGGTTAAAGCACGCCCAGGCCGTTACAGGGCGCGCCTGACGTTGACAGGCCGTAGAGGCCCCTTTCTTTAATGGCGGCCTTGCCAAACTACAGTGCAGTGCGCTAACGTTATTACAGGTAGTCCTTAACTTACGACTGCAACGGAGCCCAAAAATATACATTTCAAAGTGAGACGTTTGTGAAGTTGAGGTTGTTGGTTTTTTTTGCCCCACCTTACGGCTTTTCTTAAGTGAATCGCTGCAGTTCTTAAATTAGTAATGCCGTTGTTAAGTGAATCTGGCTTCCCCATTGGCTTTGCTTGTGGGAATGTGGCAAAAGATGGTTGCTGTTCTGACCCAAGCCTTGTTCAAATCAAACAAACACGAAGTATGTATAAAAGCAAACCTTTTTTATGTGGCGCTGTGCATTCTGCGCATTCACAGCCAAGAGTCACTCAAAACTAATTGTCCCAGTTAAGAGCAAGCCCTTTCAAGGTTGCGAAAGGCTGCCAAGAACAAAAGACTAATTGCAGATAAATATCCAAAGCCAGAAGTTTCAAAAAACAAACCGGAGTAAGCAGGGCTTCAACGAGGACTCTGAGTAGAAAGAACTTCTTTGCTTCCTGCAAAGAAGCCAACCCCAAAGGCTGGCTTTTATCCCTTATGGGAGGGGCCATCAAATTCCAGCCTTACTCCTGAGTCATCTATGCTGCTTCAGCTGCTCTTTCCTTCAGGCAGCCCTGCGCACACATGCACTGAGCACAGGTTCTCCAGGGTCCTCTTTGTCACTGCTGCCAGACTCCACAACCTCCGAAGGAAGCACCCCACTCTCCGATAGTCCTAGCCCCATCCCTGCATCACACACAGGCCCCTCATCCAAGTCCTTGCTGTCAGAGACCTCAGCCGTCTGCACCTGCTGTTGGGGAACCACAACAGTCACATGTCCCCCAGGATGCTACAACCATCGTAAATGTAAGTCAGTTGTCAAGCATCTAAATCACGTGACCACGGGAATGCTGCAATGGTAAGTCTGAAAAATGGTCATAAGTCACTTTTTTCAGTGCCTAACTTCAGACAGTCACTAAGTGATTACCTGTACTCCTGGTCCTGGGTACAACAAGAGGGGGCTGTGTTTGTGCCAAACTTACTTCTTCAACAGGTGGCAATTCAAATGGGGCCTTGTCTGTGTCTCAGTGGCCCCTGTGGTTGATTTTAATGGAAAGCACAGTTGCATCTCCATGTGGGGGTAGAGTGGAGAGGAGAGGAAGGAGTGGTGTGAACTGTTGTGTTCTAAGATACATCTTTGTGTTTATTACTGGGGATACTAACCTTAGTACCTTATACAGGTAGTCTTCCACTTACGACTACTTCCATTTATGACTTCTGTTGCTAAGTAAGACCTTTGTTAAGTGAGTTTTGCCCCATTTTATGACTTTCTTGCCACAGTTCTTATGTGAATCACTGGTTGTTATGTGAATCTGGCTTCCCCGCTGATTTGGCTTCTTGGAAGGTCCCAAAAGGGGATCACATGACACCAGGAAACTGCAACTATCATAAATATGGGTCAGTTGCCAAGCATCTGAATTTTGATCATGTGACCCTGAGGATGCTGCAACGATTGTAAAGCGGTCACAGGTCACTTTTTTCAGTACCGTTGTAATTTTGAATGGTCACTAAGTGAACTGTTGTAAGTCAAGGACTATCTGGAATCTTCTGTTGCCAAGTGCTGAATGCTGAGAAGAGAAATTTAACCTTTTAACTATGAGGTCTAATACAATTTGTCATCCAGCTGTAGTCTTACCAAGAATTGGCAGTAACTTTGATTTCTCTAGCCCAAAGTAAGAGAGCAGAACAGGTTATTTCTATTGGTAGTTTTTTTTTTTTAATTTGGTGGGTATATGTATTTTATATTGTTTGTCTCTGACCTTTTCCCCAAATCTATGAGGTTCAAGAATTCTTGAACAAATTCTATCATATTCTTAAATTTAAATTAACACAACTGCAGTGACCTGCAACAATAAAAAAAATCTTAGAAAACATCTCTTGACATACAAAATATCTATCCCCTGACTTCTTAAACTAATATAACTTTGACTTCCAAGAACATTAAATTCCCATTGCCAGGTGTGCTGGCTAATTTATGGGAACTGTAGTTCAGTATTCCTGGAGGGAGCCAGGATGGAAATGTCTAGTATCCCTGTTAAAGTTCTCCAAAAAGGTATCCAGGGCAAATAGTTCTTCTTATCTAACTGAAAGCAAATTAAACATTTCTCTTTTGGTTCAACAACTGACAAGTCCCAAGAGGTCTTGGGGGACGGGGACGGGACGCTTATATCTAAGCTAACTGATTAAGCCAAATTTCTCTCAGTTCAATCTCTGTTGTGTATTTTCTTGTTTCCTTTCTTCCCAGCTCCAGCATCATATACCTGCATCACTTGCCGAGTAACTATCAAGGATGCGGATGTTCAGCGAGCCCACTATAAGACTGACTGGCACAGGTATAACCTAAAGAGAAAAGTCGCTGAGATGCCCCCTGTCACTGCTGAGAACTTTCAAGAAAGAGTACTAGCCCAAAGAGCAGGACTGGAAGAACAGAATAAGGCCACTGCAACTTATTGTGTGGCTTGCAGCAAGAGATTTTCCAATTTCAACGCCTATGCGAACCACCTGAAATCCAGGAAACATTTGGAGCTTGAGAAGAAAGCGGTCCAAGCTATCAGCAAGAAAGTGGAACTCTTGAATGAGAAGAATTTAGAGAAGGGCCTTGCTCAAGAGAACGTTGACAAAGATGCTATGAACACTGCTATCCAGCAAGCCGTCAAAGCTCAGCCATCCTCATCTCCAAAGAAGGTTGCCCTGTCTGCAGATGCCATTGGTTCTTCTTCCATGGAAGAAAGTAGCAGTTCTCTTCAGAGAAAAGACCACATGGAAAGGCCACCTCGATTACACTGGTTTGAGCAACAGGCTAAGAGGCTGACACAACAGCAGTCTGACGATGAAGGAAAGGAGGAAGATATGGAGGAAGGTAATGGCAAAAGCAGTCTAAACTAAAGTTAAAAACTAAGATGTGGATCTTGTAGCTGGGAGGAAGCCCTATATAATGTTCAGTTTGAAACTTTGAAAGCAGATTTGCATCAGATATTTGGGTTATGGAATACAATATGCTATGGAATAATCCTTATTGAACAATAACCTTTGATAAACATTCATAAGATTACTGCATTGAAAGCATATTAATTAAAAGAATGATGTGATATAATTGGCCTGTATTTAAAAAAACAAAAACAAAATTAGAATATACAAAGTACCGTAAAAAAGAAAAAGTGTTTTAAAAGGCTTTTCTTTTGTTTCTACCTTAAGAATATTTCCTGTCATGTCCTCTAAATACAATTTAGAAGACATGACAGGAAATATTTCCTAAGGTACAAGCAAAAGAATTTCTTTGCTTCAGAATTAGATTTATTTTTATATTATGTTATGATTGAATCAATATATGTAATGTTGGCTGAAATCTTTTTTTCATTGGGCCTAAGTTGCTTCCTGTCCTCTGTTAGCTGGTTGATATATAATTTATGAGTGACTTTTGACCCATCATGTAGAATATTCACCAAACTAACCACTGCTATACTGATCTGAGTTAGAATATAGGATTAATAAATTGGATTTCAAAAGAGCTTTTGGGAGCTCACAGATGTAGCACCTGTTTTCCAGTCTTTAAAGCAACTGTCATTTTTCAGGAACATATGACAGCTGCAGAGATTAGCTATATGCTTCTGGTTAAATTGTGGCTGCTTTTAAGAGTTGTCAACGTGTACTATACAAAAGGTTTTCTCTCAATTTTCAAACCACTATCGTACTAAAATATATTTTTCCAAAGCACTCAAGCTAATGTATTATCTTAGGAAAATGACACTTCACAGAAAAGAACTGGTAAGGGACTGCACAGCTTGAAGGTTAAAGTCAAACAGTGCAATTGGTGTCAAAGTTTTTCAAGAGATTTTGAAAAATTCATTTTCTTAACAAAATTAGAACAGTTAATGATATTATCCTTAATGGTAAGATCTTGTAGCATGCTGCTTTATTGAATTGTTGACATGCATCATCTTAATGCAATTAAACCAGGTTAAAGTTTTGTTCTGATTTCTTGTAGAAGGTTGGGAGGATATAGACTCAGATGAAAACATAGAGTCTGAAGAAGAGGTAGAGGAAAACCCAGATGAAGCAGAAAGCAGTGTACCTGAGAATGATGGGGCTGAACCTGAGGCAATTCCTATAACAAACTGCTTATTCTGTTCTCACCATTCAAGTTGTTTCATGAAGAATGTGGCCCACATGACAAAAGCCCATAGTTTTTTCATTCCAGACATAGAATATCTTGTAGATTTCAGAGGATTGATCAAGTATTTGGGTAAGTCTGTCAGACCATCCCCCCCCCCCGCCCCACGTAAATACATAAACATTGTTACTGATTTTTAAGAAAGATGTATATGTAATTTCTCTCAGTGTTTCATTCTTCTTATACATAACTGATTAATAAATATGGCAATTTTTTTTAAAAAAAATCACATTTTCTTAATAATCTGGATGGCATTTTTAACATCAGCTATGTTATAGTTGTTGTGGATGGCATCTTAAATGTATATCAAATAGGTATATCAAAGTTGTCATCTTGTTGGACAGAAGTTGACCTCTACATATAAAGACTATTCTATATTGATGTAGACTGTTGGATTTTCTCTTAGAATTTAATGCTCTTTAGTAAACTTGATCTTACATCAGAATGGGGTTGAGCACAAACACATTGGAAAGTATACCTATAGGTTTTGTGTAAATTGCACCTGCAGATAGACCTTGGGTTACAACCAATCATTCAGCAACCATAAAAATTTAGCACAGTTGAACAAATGGTACTTCCAACCAGTTCTTGTAGTTCCAGTTGTTGCAGCACCCCTGTGGTCCCATGATCACAATTTCCAATATTCCTGTTGGCTTCCTACAAGCAGAGTCAATGGGGAAGCTGGCAAGAAGTCAGAAGTTGTAGTCACATGAGGTCCTGACTTGATAATGGCAACCAGGATTGCCAGAATTGCTGCTGCTAAATGACCCAGTCGCATGATATTGTGCTTTATGATTGCATTACTTGGCAAAGACAATTATAACCTTGTATAGTGTATAGATACTGGTTACAAAACAATTATATCTGTTCCTCTCACTGGTGGAATGGACCTGCATCAGAGGTTCTAGTAAGCTGTCATGTTCAGCTGAAAAGCTTAATGCGAAAATAATGTTAATCACGGGAAACGGAAGTTATTTTTGCAATACATTCTATGATGACCATTCCTTTTCTTGACAAGGAACCTTGACTGGGACTTGGCCAAGTTTGGAATGTAGATCATTTCATCCTTATTTTACAGGTATTCCTTGACATGCAACAGTTCACTTAGTGACTGTTCAATGTTACAACAGCGCTGAAAAAAGTGGCTTATGACAATTTTTCACACTTACGACCATTGCAGCATCTCCATAGTTATGTGATTTCTATTTGGATGCTTGACAACTGGCTCACATTTATGACAGTTGCAGTATGCTGGGGTCATGCGATCACTTTTTTATGACCTTCTAACAAGCAAAGTCAATGGGGAAACCAGATACATTTAACAACCATGTTACTCATTTAACAGCTGGAGTGGTTCACTTAACCACTATGGCAAGAAAAGTCTTAAAATCGGGCAAAACTCACTTAACAAATTTCTCACTTAGCAACATAAATTTGGGGCTCAATTGTGGTTGTAAGTTGAGGACTACCTGTACTTGTTCATAGTTTTCTTTGATGTCATAGGCGACTTTTTTATGATAAATAGATTTCTAATCATTAACAATGAAGCCATTGGTAGACTGCAAATCTATTGTTTTGTCAAAAGATGTTGGAGTAGTTCCATGCTATGTAAAAGAAGGGGGCGGGATGCAGGGCCAGTGGAAAAGCTGAATAGAGATTTTGGCAGTAGCAGTGAGAACAGAAAGTAGTTTGATCCTAAATGTTAAGATTAATATTAATATTTCAAAGCCATGTAAGCTCAAAGGGCAATTCTTATTTCTTTTCTTTCAATGCTCAGGAGAGAAGATTGGGGTTGGGAAGATCTGTCTGTGGTGCAATGAGAAGGGGAAGTCCTTCTACACAACTAAAGCTGTACAGGCACATATGAATGACAAAAGCCATTGCAAGCTCTTCATTGAGGGAGATGCTGCTTTGGAATTTGCAGACTTCTATGATTTCAGGTAGGAGTTGCATTGTTGGTGAAAAACATGGAATGTTTGGCCTAGGTAAAAATCTGACAGTGATGGCCCAAGTCCTGGGCTTGGGGCGATGCATGTGATGAATTTGCTTATGGATGACCAACATTTTATAAGGCTACGTTCTAAGTTAGTGCTACTATCCTGTGACAAACAGTCACTTGGGGATCACAAGGAACATACAGCAATGGTTTTACCAATGGGACCCACAGCGAAGCTGTTCAAGGTAGGGTGGCCCTCTTTGCTTACAGTTCTGCCTTGCTCTAGGAGAATTGAGCTTCCTTCCTGTCAGTGTCTGTGGTTGTGTCTGCTTGTAGACCTTGTATTTCCTACAGTTGTCTAGATAATTGTCACTGTAGATTCAACACATTCTGTAATACAGCATTTGAACTGGCCTTTTGAAACTTGGAGGCACATCTTCCTTCTGTCTGCCTGCATTTTGAGAAGTTAGGTGGGGTATATACATTTCTTCTTTTACATGAATTATAAATATACTGAACAATATGCTGATGGCTTATTTAGTAGGAAGGAAGTGGCTTATTCAAGGATATCGTGTCCCTGATTGAAATACATTCATTAAATCTGTATTCTACAAGATCCTTGTTCTTTTGCCCCACAATATGGATGCAGTACGATTTAAACAAGACTAGAAGAGCACGTTGTCCAGTCTTGCTACAATTGTATTCTTTTAGATTAAATTGGAAGAGCCCACATTAATTCCCTACATATAAAATACCAAGTCACTGGGGTGAGAGCAAGGTTGCACATTTATCTACATGTAATCCTGCCAGTGTGATTTTATTTTATTTCTCCGATCTCACTGTCAAGTGACTCTGGGCAGCTTATCAACATCATCAAAACAAAGATAGAAAACATTAACACATTAAAGTTTAACATGGACAGAAGTTAAATAAGTTAAAAACCAGAATACTACAAAGCGGAGGTGGAATTTTCCTAGTCCACTAACTAAATCCAACATAGAAGACCCAGGACAATCAGCAGAGCAAGGTTTTGAGGCTCTTACAGCAGACCAGGAGGGTGGGCATATTGTTCCAAAGGGCGGGAGCCATAGCAGAAAAGGCATCTGGTACGCTTTTACTTTCTTTTAGAGTTACTATTGCTGTTTCAGGAATCATTTTTTCTAGGATTATTACATCGCATTTGAATCATCTGTTTGGAAAAATAATATCACTGGCAATCTATTTCTGATTATTCAAAGCAATTACGGAATAATAACAATAACAATAATAATTATATAAAGAAGAAGAAGAAAGAAGAAAAAGAAGAAGAAAAAGAAGAAGAAGAAGAAGAAGAAGAAGAAGAAGAAGAAGAAGAAGAAGAAGAA